TTTCCTTCATTTAGACTTGTGGACAATGGCTGATGCTAGTGTGTCCAGTATCAATGATGATACTTCTCAGTCAAACACTGATACTACCAGTGATCCTTTATCCTCTAAGACAGAGACCGATCCATTCTTTACTGTACCCTAGTTTTTTTTATAGTTTTAATGATTGAAATGTAAACTACACGTCATTATCTCTCTCCATTTTGATTATATTCTCTTTAATTTTTTTCTTTTTCTTCATTTCTTTTTATGATTTTTTCCTCTTCCAGTGCTTACAGTTGTAAGATGATACAAGAGTATGAACTGTATTTTCGTGATCAATCAGGAAAGATCATTATTGATGCGTACAAGTTTAACGTCATCATCACTACTTATGAAGTTTTGCTATGTAAGCCACACCCACAATTAATTAATAATTACACCTTTACTTATACTAATTTTACTTGCATAATAATATTATACATGTACATGTTTTAAAACTAAGGATTAAAAATAAATTTAAAAATAAAAATTTAAATTTAAAAATAAAATTTAAAAATTTAGAAACTTTAATTTTCTCCTCTAAAAAATTTAGTTCAAAAATGTTAAGTTGACTGCACATGTACTACATGGAACTGTATTCAATATTAACATGTACATGTACATATACGTGCATCATGTATTTGTGTAATCTGTTTCAGCTGATAACAGTGAATTAAAGAGCATCCTATGGAGAGCAGTGATTATTGATGAGGCTCACAGACTGAAAAATAAAAACTGCAAAATGTTGGAAGGACTCAGAGAACTACACATGGTAAGTACATGTATGTAGTACTTGTGCATGTACTGTATATCCTTAAATAGAAGCCGGATGCGAATAAACGCCATGGTAGCAAACTATAAATACGCAAATCTAGCCCGTAAACTTCTTAGTAGTCTTGAGTTGTAGATACTACCTTAAGTTCCTGAAGTCAAGTGCATGAGGTCACTGGTGCTAGTCTCAGTCTGGGTCAAAGTTTTTTATTTTTTTCGAGGTCCAAATACCATTTTAGGTAATAGATGCCCATGCTTTAATTTAAGGAAATACAGTACGTTGTACATTTCTATAATATAGTTGATTCCAGTCAAAATTAGATTTTTATGAATTTTTAAAGTTGCTAAACAATGTACTGTATAGCTGGAAAATTTGGTGGAGAATTAAATTTGGTGGATTGGCGCTTCAAAATAAAACCACCAATATTATAACCGCCAATAATAATTGCAATTATTATAGGCGGGTTAATTATACTAAAAATGGCAGTATTTTTCACTATTTCAGTCACAGAGACTGCCAAGGAGCAGCTTGAAGAAAAGCTGAGTGTGCTTTAAAAAAGACAAGATAGTAAACTGCCAAATTAAATGACCGCCAATATTATATTTAGGCAGTTTTGATGCAAAACCACCAAAGTTTTAGAACGCCAAATTTTCCGGCTATACGGTATTGCTAAAAATAAAAAGAAAAACTTCTCTATTTTTCATAATTTTTCCTGATGTATTATACTTGTTGTTATGTTGCGTTGAAAGTTTGAGTGGATTTCAATCAAAATTGAATTTTTTTACAAATTTTGAAAGTTGCTCCAAAATCGGGTCAAAGTCCCTGTATTATTGTACAGTGATTTTAGCCAAATTTTGCCAAAAATAAAAAGATGAGAATTCTTAATTTTTATAATTTTTTCTAATGGATATACATGTTTTTTCGATCAAAATTGGATTTCTTACGAATTTTAAAAGTTGCTCCAAAATCGGGTCAAAGTCCCTGTACTACAGTACAGTGAATGGGGCCAAATTTTTGCCAAAAATAAAAAGGTGA